TGGATTTTTCTGCTTCACACCATCATCATTCCATCACTGCAGGCTGGCTGAGGAAAGGAAACCAAAAGAAAACCGTTCTCCCACTGCGACTAGTTTATTCCTGACTGTTCTTGTAATGCTGAATCAGCAGGGCTGTCCTCAGGATCTCTGGTGACTTGTTACCTATTACAGTGACTGTACACCGAGGGACTAGGCAACAGGTTCGGATACTCTGGGTTTCCTTTTTCAGCCTCTTCTGTTGTCAACAGTACAAGTTTCCTGGACCCGACCCCCACCCTCAGGTGCCCTACACCAGGAGGAGGCGCGATGAGCTGCAGTTGTGAATTTGATGTTGCGACGGGAATTTTTCTTGTCATCTTGCACTCTGCAATGGTATCGCTGCTTATGGTTATACAGGCCTTGTGATGTTGAGGCACTTTCTGGTGATTCTATGTATCTACTGAATGACATTGGGAATATCTTAGACTGCATTGTGTAATATTTCATTAGTACAGGGTGCAATACATTTATAACATCATTTACATCGTTTTGATCATTATTTCTAAAACCATATCTCTGCATTTCTTTGGCAAAAATTTAAATAATGAGTTCATGAAAATTGTAGTGAATTGGAATGAAAGAAGGCTAAAAGCATGCATGATCACACCATCATGATAGTTCCATGAATAATAGTCATCTGTATAGTACCAAGATGGCTGAGTGGTTAAGGCATTTAGATTTAAATTCCAGTATACCCAGGTCTGTGAAGGTCTGAACCCTGCTGCTGGAAATGGTTTTGTTATCATCCTCAATAAAGGTCAATCAAGCCTTCATCATCTTTCAATCATGTCATGGGTATGAATGTCATCTTCATAATTGGGTAATTCTGAATTACAAACCCAGAACCCAAACAACCTCAATGAGTTATCAATCTCACCCCTCCTTTTGCTCTGTATTAGTTTCAGTAATTGCAGTAATCTGTAAAAAGGAAGAGTATTCTATTTAGATTGACACTTTTATAATTGTGGTAAGGCATACTGTTCTGATTTCGGAATGATATAGTCTAGTACTGACAGCACACCAAAGACCTTCACAAACATGCTGTAGATGAGATTTACACCTGCTTATGGGACTTTTTGTCTAACACTTGGCCACTGCTTCCACGGTACAGAACTTTTAGAATATATTGGAATGGAATAGAAAACATGAAATGTCATCTTGCAGGTTATGGTACAAAGTAAAAAAATAAATGGACTTTCGCATAACATTGGGGAAATTTACGTTTTAGTTGGACTGAAGTCACTTATGCATAGGTCTCTGGATATGCATAAATCAAATAATTTTACTGTAATTTCTTCTGAATTCTTCAGCTTTTCCACACATTTCATGTTACCAATATCAGCAAGCTTCGCACGTTCCTATTGGTATACCCCCCCGTTGTTCAGCAGAAATATCTCATAAATTGATAAAAATGACACAAAACTTTGTTTCAGGTATAGTTTTTATTCCATTTCTTCTTTAAATATCTTCACAACACTTTCGTAATACAGTAGTTAGTATTCTAGCTTATCAGTCAATAATCAAAGTAAATTAAACAGCAGGATAAAGATCCATGCTCCATGATTTCAATTATAACATCTTAATTATAGTAATCCACCTTCATCAATACCAGCTGTTCAGTAACTCACTATCATAGTGTTCAGACAATGTTAAATTGCCAGCGTCGGGTTTTCACTAACTAATGTGTTGACCAGGATGCAGAGTACGGTATTGTTATGCTACCAGTAAGAAGTTGTGCTCTGACACATACAAGCACAGAGCATCATCAGTGTAACTGCTGGACATCTCAGACTCTTGACCAGTGTCACCTGGACCTCATTGGAGACGTAAGTGAAACGGATACAACATAATCAGATACTGTACATGTAGTTAAAGTCTACCTTGAACTGTTTTTTTAAGTCCATGCCTTTTAATTTCATAATTTTTTTTATTATATTTTGTTTACTTACATTTACTTACACTATTCAGATTACATGGTTTTGTGAATTTGGAATTAGTCTTTTCAAGGACTGCTTTTGCTGTGAGAACCTCTTGCTGTGGAGGATATTCTCCAGCTCCAAAAGAGGTTTTACTTTGCATGAGTCATCATATAAAGCACCATCATCACCATCGGGTGATTGTTTTAACGAACCTCTTTGTATACATTTGCCCTTATTTAATTTCTGAATTAATCTGTTTGCTAGGCTGTTGCTTCAGTTTGTGCCTGTTGTCCAATCTTACTATACCGCTAAGACTTCACAGGCTTGTTTCTTCTTTAGTACAAGAATATCAGTGGGGACTAGCAGAAACCTGGGAACAGAGATTTGAGCATCATGAGGTTAGTGTGCATAAAGAGTGGAAGAGCTGTAGTCGATTTCGGAGAACGATGAAGGAAGTCCTGAAGAATTCCTACTAAAACATCCAGAAAGCATTGTACTGTAAAATTACACGACTGTTACTGCTGTTGGCTTTTCTTTCACATACAGCAGATAACTATCCTTTTTGTATTTTTAAGAAATGTGTAAAAGGTACAAATTTAGTATAATTATAAGGTAAAAGATAATTCAAGACAAATTTAGCGATACAATTATCACGATACAACAGGAAATACAAAAATATTGCTTTGAGTAACATCTTTAGATTTCATTTACTCTAATTTGGGTTAAACAAAGACTAGCATACACTACATTGTTTTTATACAAAGTATCTTTAGCATAAGATATATTCACAACACATACAAAAATAATCTAAACATAAAATGTGAGCAAATATTTTCAGTGCTTAAAAATAACAATCTTTTTTAAGACTTCAGGTATGGTAGAAATTGCATTTAGGGAATCCCATGAAAACAAGATTGCTGTCTTATAAGGATATCATTATGAATATTATTTCAAATAAATATACTTTCAAAACATTATGTGTTAAAGAAAAAAAGTATTAAAATACATCTACTGTTTAGTTGTTGTTTTTTCATTTTGACTACAATTTGAAAATTGATTTAAAGGCCAAAAAAGCTATAAATGATTAAAAAGTACTGAGAATTATTTAACCCCAATACAACTCCATTTTATACACAGTAAACTTTAGTGTACAAATAGTATCTGATTTAGATTTTTAAAAGAATTGTGTGCTGGATTCTCTTATGCCCAGGGGTGATGAAATATACTTTTATTTCATTTTGTTCTCTCTAATTCTATTTGTGCTTTTATCAGAAATAAATACCTGTTTTGATTAATATGCCTGCAAGTCAATCATTTAATCACTGTCTACATTGGAAGCACTTGCACAGTTACAGGGAGCGCAAATTGCTAAAATACTGAGTGAGATGTTTTTCTTAGTTATATGGTTTGGGCAACTTTTTTAGGTTTGCTGTGAAATATGTCCGCTGTTGTGATTTTTAAACTAAAAAATAGAACAATAGGATATATCACGAAGAGCCTTATTTTCTTTTCAACTAATGAAGACTGTAAATGTGAGTTACAGTAGGTTATATCATACATTTGTATGCTTTTTAACAGTTGGAACCTAAAATGTAATTGTAGAATTAGAGGCACTCGAGTGATTTATACTACAGATACTGTAGATCAGTCAGACTTCCTACTGATGGATGATATCAATTAGCAACACTGGCAAGAAAGTGCATTATAACTGCTTGCTGTACAGATTTTTTATACAAATTAAAAATTGTGCAGATAATTAGATGAGCTCAGCTGGATAGACTTACTGTAAATCGTATTTGTTTAATTAAGGCTAGGATCAGACTGGACACCTTTCTTCTTCCTTCCACCCAGATATTTGAAGGTAGGTGAAAAGCTGATTTAATGGGCAACAGGACCATGTTTTGGATCAGAATGTGTTGCTCCTTCCTCATGGCTCCTGGGTTTGACACCCTTGGGTGTGGAGGTCAAATGGTGTCCACATGTTAACCTCTGAGGTTTTTGCCATGTATATTCCAACTTCCAAAAAATGCTACCTAGGTTTGATTGGCTAGTCTAAATTATCCATTGTCCAGTGATGGACCGCTGTCCTGCCCAGGCTGAGACCCGTCCTGATTTGCATCCTTTTCCTCAGGATACATGGCTATTGATGAATAGAGCATGCTATTTAAAATACCAGCATTTTTATGACTGGGTAAGATGCCAGGTACTTAGGGACTTTTGAAATGTGCAATGGTGCAATCTACTGTAAGATCATTCTAGGTACAGTATGCTTATACTACCAATTTTGAAATGAAACCAGAGGATTTCAGATGTTAATGTTACACAAGAAAAGAACTTGTGATAACTTTTTAATCATTTTGGAAATATGTTGGGTAATTGGAAAAGTCGGTTGTGCATCATAGGAAAAGTTTTCCCTCCACTTTTCTTAAAATTCTGACACTCAAGCAAGAGTGTCACAAACAAATATAGTTTAAATATTATTGAGAATTTACAGCTAGAAAAGCAGAGCAAATTTTGGATTGGAGAACCAAACTTTGAGCTTTAAGTAGCAATTGCAGAGTCTTATTTGTAACTGTGCATAAATGTTACTTTTGTCCTACTGGCATATGTATCTGTGTGCACAATAAAGATCTTGCCACCAGCATTGAAAAGGATGAAGGCGTTGTACACCATATTGTACAGTCATCAACACACACTGTTTCATAGTTCATCTGGCATTAATGACTGTGTTGCAGTTCAAATGAAATCTTTTATGTTTCTGCCTGTCATAGGGCTTTTTAACCCAACAGAAAAGTCTTTGGGAAGTGCAGTCTGTCCAGGTTCAAGGCTGGAACATGAAGTATTCTTGTCCTGGAAACAGAAGAGACAATCAAATCTGTGCAAAGGTGCTTTATGTGTGAATGAAAGTGACAAAATATCCAACAAATAATGAGTTATTTGAAGACTGGTAATCGGCCAGTTACAGGCAGGGATCCAACATTTAACTATTAACCTCACCATGACGCTTACCAGGGAAACCAGCCTGAACACTGACGGATGATATGATTCTCAAATTAGCATTAATACTTTGATTGCTTTATTTTTTCTCTTATAAGGACCAACAGGTTTGTTTCTGTGATTGTCAAGTGGTCATCAGCTGAGTTCCCTGCAGCAGCCTCTGCACCTGAACAGGAACAAAATGAAATCGATTTTGCCTCAATCGACTGCACTAATGGAATATTGCACATTTTCAATGATCACGAATTAACTCACTCTTTCCTCTCAGGTGCTTTACAATTAGCAGCTGATGCAGCGAAAGCAACACACTTGAGTATAAAAACCCAAGTGACTTCCCCTCAGAGAGATGGTCATCTTGTAGAAAATGGTCTTCATTTTTGTTTGTTTTGTGCAAAGATGGTCTTGACCAAAGGTAAGCTGTGAATTTAGTGTTTCTGGAGGCATTTGTAATGTGCAATCCAGACAAGCTGGAGTTTCAAGTGTTCATTTTTGTTTTGAGGTGTGTGTTAAATATGCCCCTTTAGTACTGTGCATGTACTGTATGGTCCCTCTATGCTGAGTGTGAGAAGTGTAAAACCAAAAGAATGGTATTTTAGGTGTGTGGGCCCTTGATTCATATTCCCTTTCATTCTGTTACTTGTATTATAGACAGACCTTATTCCTGTTGATTTTTAGTCACAATCCGTGTACTCCTGACCAATATGTATGGTTGGGCAATGCAGGGCAGATTTATTAATCCAACAGACTGGGTAGGGTTGTGTGGACAAGCGTCCTCTTAATGCAGTTACATTTTTTCACCTGCATAGACACCCATGTCCATGAAAAATCTTGCTCCCCCCAGTGGGTCTCACCTCTAGGATCTCTCCTTTGACAGCCCGTGTTGTCACACAGCCCTGGTGGGCCAGGTTCCCCAACAGGCCCTGTGGCCCCCGAGAGACCAGGTTTCCCCGGCTGGCCGGGGTCTCCCCTGGGTCCTGGTGCTCCAGGTTTCGACTCCCCCGGGGGACCTACGCAAACGCAAAAGAGCTCAGACTTGAGGACAGGGGAGGTCCCTTTACCAATATCAGTCTTCTAATACATACACGAGGGAAAAGTAGAATGTGGTGAAGTCTTAATGGCAGAAGGGGGTAATCCGTGGGATAAAAGCAAATGGGGCATAAACCTCTTTTCCACAACATCAAGAATTCAAGGACATCTTCCCCTTAGCACTAATACTGTATGGTAAAATCATGATAAATGGTGATATCATGATACTGTCATATTGTGTGTTTTAAGGATGTGATAATCATGGTTTAAAATCTGTCATGTTTGTATAACTCCTATCTTGTGAACTCGCTTTCCTTTATTTCTAGACCAGAAGTGGATTTCCACAGTCTGGTAAGTGGATTGTGAGGAGGATGTCAGTAAGAAACCTCTGATACTTGTATATTAAGTTTGAGTAGGGAACTGCATAAGCAAAGAGAGATGATATTTTGGCCAAGACTTGGTCTCCTTTCTTTTCCTTTCAGCATGGAATAAACCTTTACCTGTTCCATTATTTATTCATATTTCACATCTTCCACAGGCTTTACAATCTGATATCTTTATACTGTCTAAAATGTCTTGTCTGTTAAAGGCTCCTGTATAGAGTATAGGACGAGTTCAGTTGTGTTGTGTTTTAGAAGGCGATTACTAGACACGCAGTGTCTGTTTTCAGCCGATTAAATCCTCCCTTTTTTCCCTGAGGGGAGTGTCGGATAACTGGAACCAAATCAACAGCTTGACTTCGTCCAATGTTAAAAAATACAGGAATTTCAGATCTCCATAAAGGTTTACAGCACAAATATTTATATATAAATTTAATTTCTTTAATTTTGTGCTTTTTTTTGTAATAGAACTACAATGTAGACAATATTTATAGTATGAGTTATACTATCAAGTTTCTTCATGGGGTTTTTCCATAGATTTTATTGTCTTGTTTCAAAATGAGGTGAACTGTGTAGGAGCGTGTATGCTGTCACAGTGAGTGCTGTAATACTGCTTTACTGGGGGACAGTGTTTATGTGCTCTGTGCACAGCTGCTGATGTTACCTGGGAGTCCCCTGGGTCCGTGTGGGCCCTTCACGCTGTCTCCCACACTGCCCTTCTCCCCTGGCTGCCCCGACCTTCCTACGCAAGGCAAGATGAGCACAGATCAACAAACGGGGTTAAAACACCTCTGGAGGGGCATTCACAAAGTTTCAGAAGGTCAAATCACCTAATTTCCATTGCTTCAATTTAGCGTAACATACTGTACCTTCAGTGCACTGACTGAATTGACTGAGCTTTCTCTCCATTACCTGACACCGCAAGACTTTTGCATGTGAATCCAGCTTCTCTTGCCCTGTTTCCTGAAGGTGGGGTCTCAGATTTCAGAATCCGGATTTTCCCCATCAGTTCCCCAGTGATATCATTCTTTTTTTGAAATCTCAAATTCCACTCCCATTGCAGTGAAAGATTTGGGGCAGAAAAGATAGAGGAAAGTCCTGACAATTCTCCTAAGGCCTGCTGCAGTAGACCTTGCCTCACCTTGTTCCCCCGGATAACCTGATTTTCCAGGATCTCCAGTGGTTCCTGGCCGGCCTGGCCTACCCCTGGGCCCTGGGGCTCCCTGAGGTCCGGGGATCCCCGGTTCTCCTGGTGGCCCCACTGGCTCTTCCACGGGGACAGGCTTCTGGCTCATCTCGTTGAGGAACGAGTCCAGCTTCAGCACCTCATCTGCAGAGAGACACCACCTTTCTTGCAGCAGAGCTGTGACACAAACCCGAAATGGAGGCCATCTCCATACGCCCGAGCCTCCGCTGTCGGCTCGCGCAAGCCACGTGTTCCTTCTCAGCCAGCTATGAGTAATCTTGGCTTCGTGTACCAGAAGAAAGGTTACAACAACATGGAGGCTATCAGGCCTATTGTGCGTGATTGATTGCTAGAAATTGATTGATCTGAAGACGGCGATCGGGCACCTTCTTGGACCCTACCAGT